GACTCAGTTATTAAATCTTTATATGTATTTGTACTCTTGAGTCTGCTGACTTCTTTAAATTGATGTTCATACAAAGAGATGAAAAAGGTTGCTATGATGGCAGGAATCTTGTTCACATGTAAAAACCTTTCTTGTGCATTTGTTGTTTTTAATAATGTAAGGCTTCCAATGTAAGACCTTTTCTTATCGCTTTCATTTCCAACCATATCATAGGGATCTTAGTTTCAATTTCTGTAATTGCTAAAAGATTGAGAAATTTCTTCAGAAACATTTCAAAAGACTGAAAAATTCACTCTGACCATAGCTTTGTAAGTCATTTCAATGTATCAAACACAGCAGCTTCTTCAACTTTATCTGAATCTTGCATACTTTCAAATCTCTATTTCACATAACACACAGTATTGTTTATAACAGACACCCTGACTTCTCCTAACCATTACACAGCTTTTTGAGTTTCTTTAAATAAATACTCCTTGAATAGTTACATTACTGATGATCATTACTTCTTTGTGCCCTGGACTGCCTCTCAGTACATCATTATTGAAACTGTTTTTGCAAATTGTTCTGAAAAATAGTAAGAACATATGCCATACCTAATAAATGTATCAATATCTTCAAAATGCCCTACAAAAACGTCAGATGCTGTGTGAAAAACACTGGTATCACAGACTTCTTTGGCGTTGTGACTATAGTGTGACAAGGTTTTATACTGTCTCCATTTTTATTTCTTCTTGTTGTCAACTTTGTTATGACAAGAGCAATGGCTGGGTCTGAATATGTTATCCTATGGCAACAACAAAATGGCTATCAGATCTTGACTTTGCTGATGACATAGTCTTACTGAGCCAAGCTTCGAATACACTACAGCAGATGACTGCTGGTCATGAGTGTAATGCTGGAAAAGTATGCTTGAAAATAAATAGTGAGAAGACCAAGTATATGCTTATTGGACAGCATCAGAACTAAACCGTAACAGTCAACAAAAAAATACTGAAAGCACTGACCACTTTACTTCTCTTGGCACAACATTGCAAGGGATGGAGATTTGGAAAACGAGGTCAGCACCTGTCTGGGAAAAGTGACAGCAGTGTTCCAACAACTTGGAAACATTTAGTACTTTAATACCAGCTATATAGCTTGCAAGATGTAGAAGACAACAAAAGTATCTCAGAAACTTAACATTTTTTACCAGAAATTTCTCCATAAAATCCTGGTGATATCTCATACAGAGACCACGTCACCAAGGAAGAAGTCATATGATGAAGCAGATGGAGGCAACTTGAAAATATTGTGTGCAGGTTGAAGTTGGCTAGTCATGTCATTGGACTTCCAGATAGTCGACAGGGCAAGACAGCACTGGTCTAGGTACCACCACATTGCAATAAGAAAAGTGAATGTTCCAAGAAAACCTGGCATGTGACTGGGAAAAGTGGAGATCTTTCATCACTATATGTTACAATGGGAACAGAAAGAACTATCTTTCTTCAATTTGAATGGTGCACTTATTGACAAAAAATTATTTTCCTTTAAAATGCCCCTTTGCTTTAACTGTTTTATTATAAACATCTTCAAAATGAATAACAATAACTTTTCAGTCCTGTAATAAAGCTTTATAACATAAAATTTTCTAGTGACCTACCTGATACAACAGTGATTTTCAATTTAACTACCTATTCTAATGAGGTATATGAATATACTGTGTGTTTCTATCTTGTATTATTATTGTATTTATTCTGAATTTATCATTTGCTCTGTATATCTGAAGGTTCCCGTAACATGGTTGAGAAAGCTATTAAGTTGATTTTGTTCTAACTGCTGTTTTTCTTTGTTATTCTTGAATGAATAATATCTGTTCTGCCCTGGAGGTTATATATTGCTGCATTACTGGCTGTTGTACAAGGTTGTCAACAGCAGTGTCCTTCAATGGTCACTCAGGTTATGATGTAATTTATCCATATAAAACTGAATTAACTTTAGAACTACATTGGATAGGTCTACTAGATAACAGAAGATTCACTCAAGATATCAATTATAAGGTAATACTAAAGCTCTGATTATATGAGTCAATGTAAAGTAAAGTGACAAGACTGGAAACAAAGTGTAAAACATACTGCACAACCTGTATTAGAGCACTAAACACAAACACAGTTTGTACTCCATTAAACACAGGACAATTATTTTTATTGGCTCTTCTATATCAAATTGTTCAAGCTAAATCCATGTACTAGGCTATAATTACTAAGATGATATTCCATTCCAAACAAACTAAATGTAACGTTGCTTAGCATGCAAGATACTTCACATTTACCCGTGGCAACTAGCAATACCCACATGACAGTTCATTCTAATTATAACATAGGTGAGGCCATAACCTCTAGATATCACCTGAACAACCACTGAAGGTCACTGCAGTTAACATTCTTCACAGTGGATTGTATTGAGCAATATCCTTCCTGGGCAGTAACAGGTATTATCCATTATAAGAACAACAAAGGAACAAAGGTATCTTAGAAGAAAACTAACTTAATGACTTTCATGACCACGTTTTATGTGAAACGTTCACATATTCAGAACAAAAAAATGAGCTTAAGAGAAATACTATGATATTACAAGAAGATTGAAACACATGGTATATTCAAATACCATAATATCTAAAAGTTATGGTTTCATCTAATTTGTCTTAATAATGACCAGTTATGTGAATAGTGCTAGCCTCCCTAGATAAATGTAGTTTTTCTTGCTAACTAAAGAATGTTGGATTTAGGCAGCTTGGAACAGGATCTTGAAAGAGAAGCAGATGAAAGAATACAGTAAAAAAGAAAGTCCCATGTAAAAAAAAAAACAAGTACACACACCATGTTTGAGTTTAGTGCTATAATAAAGATTGTTCATTTTGCATTTCTTTTTATGTCCAGTCTTGTTATTCCATTTAACATCAGAACTCAGGTACTAAGATGTTTAACATTATTTTATGATTGATATTTTGAACAAATCTCCAGTTATTAAGTGAACCTATGTGATAGTTTAAAGGTTAACTTAGTTTTACCTGAAACACATTTTCAACTGATTGTAGAGTTTTTTTCATGCTTGGAGGAATATTTAAACAAATTGTTCAATGATACTTGTAATCTCTGTGTTGCACACCGCAAACATAACAATGATACTTGTAATCTGTGTGTTGCACAACACAAACATAATGTGTGTATGAATAGATTTTTGTTGTTATGGCATCTAAATTTCACCTGTCATAATTTCAAGGATAAACTAAGTACACAATTACTTGATCTGTGCGACACTAAAATATTCAAAGGCCTAGCATGTGGAAAAATATGTGTAGGGATTTTTAATGGTGCAATGAAGGAGACAATACACATCATTAACTTTGAAATAAAATTGAAGCACTTTTAACTGAAGAAAAAGGTAAAAGAAAAGCTAATTGATTTGTGCAAGATCTATTACATTATGATGTGAAAAGTAAAGTAAATGGATAACTGTATAAATGTAAAAATGGTAAATAAAACAAAACACACATGATTAGCAGGCTGAAAGATGTAAAACAAAGGTGAGTCTTGGCTATCTCAGGATAAAAACAAATGTGTTTGAAAATGTTAAAACTGTATTCACAATTAAAAACTGTCATTTTCTCTGAATCTGACCAATCAGAAAATTGATCAACAGAATCTAGAAATATCTCTGCTCCATGTGAAAGTTGCACAACGGAAAGTAAGACTGTAACCATCCCATGAAACAATAGATTATTTTCCTTGATCTGTTAATGCTGCAGAGAAAGTAACACCTATGGCTGGGTTTAACAAATTAATTTGACTCTATATCAAATGTTCCAAATTACAACTTATAAAATTTCAAAACATTATTAGATGTATATATGCAACATAGAAGAGTGAGATAAGTAGTATTTGCATACTGCACATCTAACCATGCAACTTTTATCATCTGTGCCTAAATCCACAATTAGCCAGACCATATGTGTTTATTTTATTTTCAATTTGATTAAACCAACATCAGTACATGACAACATTTTTCTGATATTGCTGGATGCATTCATTCAGTTGTTAGATAATATTTGTCTTACTAAATTTGTTTATGTATCTGATATTCAATATAAGAGATTCAGTTGTGGATTGATCAGTGGTTTTAGCTATAAGTATTCTTCCATATCTAGCACTTTTTATTTCTTCTGTCACACCACTTTAACTCACCAAGAGTGAATTGGTACACTAAAGTTTGAAACATTAGCTAGGGTAGGATTACATTTTGTATGTGTATTACAATCACTAACTGATCATTACCAATGATGAATGAGCAAGTATTTTTGGAGCCTTAGCCAAGATAGGATTACATCTTGTATCTTTTTGCAGTCACTAAATTATCATTGCCAGGGGTGAGTGGGCAAGCTGATTTGTGAAGCCTTAGCCAGGATAGAATTACATTTGATATGTATATTATAATCACTAAATAATCATTGTCAAGGGTGAATTGGCAAGTATATTTGGACCCTTAGCTAGGTTAGTATTATATCTTGTATGTATATAACAGTTACTAAAAGGTTATTTGAAAGAATTTACCTTGTACCTAGTAATTTCACACAGCAGATAACAAAGAAATGGTCATATAATAAAGAAGGAAGTTCATTTCTCCACTTTGATTTTATATTGAAAATAATCTTCTACTTAATCCTCACTTGATCTTTTCTATGAATGGGAGAACTAGATCTACAACAAAGTGATTTGAAACTATTATTGCAATTGAAACAAACAACATTTTTCATGTCAACGTTTAATGATGATTACGACAGTTATACCTCATTCAGTGCTGTAGATGTTGTAATTATATCAAAATGGTTATGAATAGGTATAAAGAATTTGTTTATTTGTGCATTATAATATGAGACCAAACATTTATATCTAAAAAAGTGAATCTAATTCTTTCCATATTAGAGGTATGACATTACTGTTGTTTTTTCCCACAAACTGCTATAGGAATTTTGTGCAGTATTTACTGCAAGAAGAAGAGAGATCAGAACAATTCAATAAACATCAGTTCTACCTTCAGACCAGTCCTGTCCCAGACGAATCATATTTAGTGACAGCTCTAGTAAACTCACCATTTAAGTAAGCTGCCAGTTAGCTAACTGTATGCTCAGCTTATAACTTTCTTTGTTTCATACTAAGTCATTTTGCATACTTTAAAAAGAGTGTATGTAGCATTGTCAAAGCCTAGAACTTTCAATGTACACACTTTGTTCAAACTATAATAACTTGACTTTCAGATTATTGATATGTTTTTATTCAGTTCACACTGCCATTAGTGTCTACATATTGAGCAATTATCTTATGTTTTCATCAACACTCAGTGTAAAGAACTGTTCAGAAAAATTTGGTGAAGTCACTCATTTTGTATGTAAAATTCTTAAAGAACCTCAACAGTAATTAGTTGGATTAATTACATTATTTAGATGTGCATTTTTCTGTGTTTGTTTGACTCGTATGTTATTAGGGATCATTTAGGATCATCACAAACATTTTCATGCATAAACACTTTAGAAGACTATATTTAACAAGCCAATAAGATCAGTATAGGTTCCATTGGCACTCCATGGAGTAACTTTAATTTTTTCTCATATTAAATATGTGTGTGTATATAAAGTGTGGCTTTAGAATGTTATTAACCTTAAGAACATAATTATCATTGTTTTGATGTGTTTTCCTGAAGCTGTTTCTCAACATTTCCATTTTATTTATAGCGAAAGTTAATCCTGATGAATTTCAGACTACATAAACACAAATTAACACTACTTTTTAAAAACTTCAGATGTAAATCACAAGACTGTCATAATAGTTTTAATAATGTTAGAACTAATTCTCTTTTCTTGGCTAATTTTTACTTGACAGTCCTCAAGGCATATCTCAGTAGTTGCTTATTTCTAATTCATGCACTTGTTCCTTTAATACATTATTTGTTCAACTTCTTTCAACAAATTCTTTTGTTTTTCTGAAGTAAGACGCTTAGAATGGGAGGAATTCGTCATTTTAAAAGATTTTCCAATACTGATATTGACAACTTGTGTCGACATAGAAATGATGCTGATTTTTGTGGCCAGGTGAGTTTTGCACTTTTAAAGGATTTCTTTTAACTTTGAAGAATGCTATAATGTACGTGTAACTGTGTGTAGAAAATTGGTTTGTCGTTCTGGAAGGAAGGATTAATTGGTAATTACATAGAATTTACAGTTATAGCTACTAACATGTGTAATTACAGGTCTTACATTTATAGAAGTGACTTCTGTTTTTACTAGTCAGTATAAGTAATAGTACAAACTAGTTAAATATCCTGGAATAACAGCTTATATTTATTAGTTTGTTTTTATAAACTTAACATCTAATATAGGCTCTCAGTTTTTCTAGAGAAGATGTGTACTGATCTCCAGGGTAAATCTAGTACACAGGCATTTGATTTCTGCAAAAATTAGAGGTTTGAGGATCTGCTATTTGGAAGGATAGGTGTAATGATAAATTACAGATCGATTGAAAGAGTCAAAATATGGGTTTGAAGCCATAGTAAAAATAAAATACTTATTGAAAATGAACCGAAAGTGACAAGCTGATTCTTATGTGATAAGACTATTGCAAATTAAGACATATATAAGTGAAAATAATTGAATAGTATGCAATTAAAAACAATCACATGATTAGCAGCAGCAACAGGTAAAATATAGACAAGACATGAATCCAGCTTGCTGAAAATTAGTATGAACTTGTTATGAAAATGCCAAAACTGATTGACAGTTCATACTTTCTCTGTAGCTGATCAATTAGAAAATAGCCACCAGAATGTAGAAATATCTCTGATCCATGTGACAGTAGCAAATTTTCCCTCCATGCACAAGGTAAAGTAGGATGCAATGCAACTACTATCCTATGAAACAGTTTATAAGTTCCTTGAACAGACAGACTACAGCAAGTAATATCTCAAACAAACTTTAGCACATGTTCAGATTTAGAATATTGAAAATATTTTAAATTATGAGCAAATAGCTCAAGAGACTTTGACACTACTGCCAGTGAATATGAATCTGTTTTATTAGCATATTTGTCGGAGGCTTTCTTTTGAACTTTCTTAGGTGACAGTGATTGAACAGAACTTCAACTTCATAAAATCATCATTGTGATAGATGCTTAACTATAGACTTTACCAATCTTCTGCACTGATTCTTGCAGTGGCCATAACAAGTAGTTTATCTCTTTTTTTTTTAGCAATCTCAAAAGATTTGGCAATTGTAGCCTCAGTTATCTATTATTTCAATAAACAACTTATCATTATAAGGGCATATGAGCCAGGCTTTCTAAGGTGCTGATGTTGCCAGTGTTTTGGGGCAAATTTCTCTGATTAAATACCTTACACAAACATATAAGACGATGGACAGAGCTTTCTAAACATATATAATATGTTGAGTTTGTGTTAAATTTTTCCAGCAAACCAAGGAAATAAATAATGGTGAGGTGTTAAAAGTAGCATGTCACCAGAAGAAAAATTAAATTTCAAAGCAATAACACAAACACAAAAATTGTAAGTGTAACTCAAGTCTTTATTATGATTAATTAGTAAACATTTATGTTTTGAAAATTTGTTACCTGATTGTCTCATTACTTTTTCACATATAAAAATATCCAAAATAACATGTTGCAGTAATCATGTGTTCTCCCTTACGGTTGTTTATTTTCACGACAAAAATTACAAATTTTGGAGTAAATAAAAAGATTAGAGTCTAAAATCAATCCAGGAAGTAAATAATTGGATTTGGTCATACCCCAAACATAGGGTATCAAGAGATATTTTGGGTATGTCCATTTGGAGCTTGTAATAAAATTAGTTTTTTAAGCACAATTTACTCATATATCTAGTGTAGGTGCTCAAATTATGTCATTTTGTTATATCATAATACACAACAGCAAAGACATTTGTTGTTATCAGTAACTGAAAGGATAAGAGTTAATTTCATTCTTCATTAAAAATCACTGAATATAGTCACGTAAACTTCTTTATGTGTTTTCCTGTATTTCAGTTTTGGGATATATTTTGAGTTCACAATGCTTTTCCCACTACATTTAGTTTCCACCATGTGCAGATGATTAGGGTGGATTTGAAATATATTAGTCACAAATCAACTCATTTTCTTGCAAGAAAAGTCCTTGAAAGTGGGATTACATAACAGATGTGTAGCTCTTTAACTGTATAACTAACATTCAAATGGTGTGAGTGGTGGTAGTTTTAGGTTTAAATGACTGATAAGTTGCAAAGCTAAATCTATTAGTGATAATTAGTGGTCTGTTTATAGAAACAAATAATTGGGGACATGATGAAATGCATGTAAAGGAGTTCACAGAATGGGTAAAGGAGATCACCATTTTAATTCAACTCCATATATATA